GGTCTTAAATCATAGCACAGGGCATGGAGCTTTCACCTTAATAGAAACCAAATATGGGATATGCTGCTCTTTGAAATGTGGCACAGATGATCATAACAAGGGACCAAGGAAAAATGCTGCAGAGCAGAAAAGTATCATTGATGTGGAAATAAGTTCTTATGAGTAAATGTTTGTTTTAAGTCAGTACTCATAAGTCAGTATTCCAACGCTGGTAAATTGCACTAAGAAACAAGTGAGGTAACAGCAAGTCTTTGTACGATGAAAGGAGAAATAAGTAGCATGGTAATATATCACATTAAGAGGGACTGCTGTAGAATGCAGAATACAGTGCAAATCAGTTCTTTAATAAAAAGATATTATATATTTTTATCCAGACAAATTAGCTGACACACTTGTAAGAAATGCCAGAATTGCATCAAAGATCAGAGAAGCAGTCCATTTGGTACAGAATACCGTCTCCAAAAGTTTTTGGAACAGCTGCATCTACTAAGTTTAGATACTCCGGAGTAAATAAACAATTTGACCACAATGAAGTACATTTCTGCCTTCACTAGTTAAGGGCTGAATTATACCCTGCAGCACAAGATTTTATGTATCTTCTAAAGTTGGTTATATTTCTAATGTACCACGTGCCCACATAAAACAAGTTATTCATTGAAAGTATCACACATGTATGCAACCTTTCTTTTTCTCTCTTTTCCCCAATGAAAGTTGTCCCAGAATTTTATCCTTGCTATTGGTAAATTAATACATGCCTGCCAATGCTTTCATAGCCAGGCAGCCCAGGAAGTTGCAGTGCAGGAGTCTGGGTGAAGAGATTTACTCTCAAATACAATGCCCTCGCTGAGACAAAGGTGAAAGATAAACAAGCACATCAAGACAGACCTCTGGATTTCCTCCTACCTTCCTCACTCCTAGCCCCTTAGTTTAAGAGTCTTTCTCAGTACTGAGCTGCAGCCACTATGAGAGTTGGTGAAAATATTTAAGTCAAGTCAAGAGTTCCAACAACATGTCAATGGCTCTCATTTCTACTTGCTCCTCATTAGTACTACTGTCAAATAACAGCCAGTGTTTGACCAAAATCAGCTCATGGAATATGCTGGCCGATGCCAAACCAGAGCAGTTGGATGGAAACACTTTGAAGAGGTGCACCACCATCACAGATTTATTTTTACATATCGTGCCTGCTGACACAAGCAATGTTTTCTGCTGCCTCCAGGTGGTTAGGAGACTCCAGACCCAGCCTGACAGAAAATGATTTGGCTTTGGTAATACACATGATCATCACATTACACAGGCATGAAGTAATCAGCCTAAAGAAAACTAACTAGTATAGGATGTGGCAGCACAGATCCTCAAGCAGAAACATAATTAGCTCCTCACTTTCCTGTCTACAACCAGTCAAATATAGTAACTCTGCCCTTATCATCGAGGTTTTCAGTGACCTCCACACAGGAAACGATTCTCTTAAGATCTAAAAATCTCCTCAAACACCACATTTTTTTTCTTCAAAAAAAAAAAAAAGCAGAGCCTGCTTCTTTTACCTAACTAACTATCCATATTGAAATACATACAACACAAAGAAGAGAAAACGCATGCTTTCTTGCTCCACAGCAAATCACATCAACTCACTTATCTGAAGAAAAATCTTTGGCTGCATAAGGCTGACCCAGTTAGATGGGTAGCAAGGGTAAGAGGCTGGAGCCAGAGGACAGGACTGCTGCTCCTGCTGGAATTGCAATCTTTAGCTGCTTTTTTCACACCCACCTGAGTTAATTTAATGTCAAAATGGGAAAGGCTTGCTCCTTGTTTCCTCCTTTTTTCTTTCACCATTCCCCTAGTTTTCTCCAGTTCTTCTGTATTTCCTTCTAGTTTTCACCTGGAAAGCCTTCCTCCCATGCAGTAGTTCTGATAATTGTCAGACCTCCTTATGAGCCAAACGCAACCATTTGCCATCTAAATCACCTATTTTTAGTCGAGTACCCTGCAAATAGTACTGCAAGGATATTTACTTCTGAAATCTTATCTACTCATAAAATATTCATAAGAAATTTGAACATGTGAAACATAGTCACAATAAAAACAACAGGTACAGACAGGAGTCACATACTTTTTCACTAATTATTCAACATTATGTATGGCAAAATCACTCTTGCACTTATCTGCTGCAATGTGTACCATTGACTTAAGAATGTTGAGACAGAATTATTTGTTAAAATCTAAACACACTGAATAGTGCCATCATGCCTCTTACTTAGGGGTGAAAAAAATAAACTGCAAGTGCCTTGAAAGACTTAATTTATAGACCACAAAAAATAAGTAATAAGAAATACTTTTACATGATATTGTGCATTCATTCCTATTGCTCGTAAATACTGGATTACTAAAGAATTGTTTATTTCATAACACAAAATGATGCAGATGTAACAAGTACGTTATTTAGGTATAGTAAAGATTATAAGTACTGAAAAGATAACATTAAAAAGATCAAAGTCAATTAAATATAACTGTTAAAGAGTAAATAATTGGTTTAATTTACATCTCAAAAATTGAGTGGATTAAGTAGATTTGAAGGAGAAACAGAGCAAAGGAAGTTGAAAAGCAAACAGATAAAAATTACTAGGTCATATGTAGCAGAAATTTAAAAAAAATGCTTATGAGATAGGCCTGTGTTTATGAGCCTCACAAGATTTTTGAAGTATATCTACACTATACTGGGAAGGCTAGATAACCTGCTTGAATGCTGGAAAAAAACAATTTTTAGGACAAACTTTAGACCCAATTTCTGAGAAAACCTTTTATTTAGTTATTTATTTTTTATGTTTTCTGGTATCTGCTGGTTCAAAATGATCACATCTATAATGACCAAAAACATTAATATTTGAAGACTTTTCAACACAAATTGAAAAATCTCTGGCATTTTGTCTTTATTTAGAATTTTTTGCTCATAAATACCCTTATAACAATGTTACCACTCATAAGAACATTCCAACCATTAACCCAGACATTGCATAATGCATTGAGAGCACAAGAGTAAAATCTATGATGGTGGATCATTTATATCAAAATGGGGGACCCTTTGAAGTTCATCACAAATAGCACAAATGCTACTAATAACACAAACTTTCTGATTTATGATAAAATGTAAGTCTCTAGTATTGACCTATTGGCATTATTCAGAAGCATTATCTATTCCAGTCTCATTGGGAGCACCCAGTCTTTCAGTATTTTCAAAGAAATAAAAATGTAAGTAAAGTGCTCGTTTCTTGTTAAATGGACTTAATGTTTAATGGACTACCTAGTGGTGTCAAACAAAGGACCAAGACCAGACTAACAGAGTATAATGTAAAGGACAAAAAGAAAATCACTAGACAGAAGAAAGCATAGGAAAGTATGGTAGGAAAGAACTAGCAATGGCAAAGATGTTAGTATTTTAATGACAGACACATGTAAAGAACAGAATAAGAACCATTTCATTTTGTTTTCTTCTTCATGACAGAATAGGAAGCCATATAGTTCACTACAAACAACAGAAATCAGAAATGACAGTCTGATAACTTTACTTCTATTTGCATCTTAGTAGGAGATGCTTTTACACGTTACACATATACCTCAGCAAGGAAAGTACATGATTTTTTTTTTCATTTGGAGTATATATTTTGACATATGATTCTCTCCAAATTCAGTGAGAAAACCCAAGTATCTCAAGTCTGAGAACTATATCTCAAGGTCTATAGAATCAATTGCCGTATTTTACTTCAAACCTATCTATTGTATTAGACTACTCAGTAAATAATAAAGACATTTTACAAATTATATTTAAGCAAGTAAAATCCTTAAAATATCTGTTGAGGTCTGGCAGGCTCTTACCAAAGGAATTCAAGAACTGTTTGATTTATACACCGAAGTTTTGACACTGTAACAATACGGAAAAAAAACCCAAACCCATTCTTGATTAGTGGCATTTATCTAGCTTTAAGTATCGTCCAATATTTTTTGTTTCCTATCCCAGGTTAAAAGGCAAAAAGACAAAGGTCCAAAAAGACCCACAGCAGCATAAGATATTTTTTCATTCTTGATCTCTTGGAAAAGCAGGAGAATCAGCACCACTACCAGAAACCTCCAATTAGAAAAGTTGCTGTAAGTTTTGAAGACGTTTCAAGTCAAAGGAACGATTCTGAACTCCATCAGTGACAGGTTTGAGTTGTGATCCCCACTGTTTTATTTCATTTTTTCTGGTTTTATGCCAAAAGGTAACTTTCTGATATTTCTACTAGTCTAGCAAACTGTACATAAGCTTGCTGATAACTGTCTTTGCTGGTAACCAGCACACAGTAGCTGGGGAATGTTATTCAGATCAGAATCATATTAATAATTCAGCGTTATTTAATTCAGATCATATTAAAAGAGTTATGATGAAATATCAACTGTACTGAAAAAAAAAGGTAGATTAAAAAGCAGAAGTCACAAACAGGAGAAAAAAAAGTCTTAAGAACTCAGAAATTAACACATTTAATCAGACCAAAGGCCTATTTAGTCCAGTATGCTATTTTTGTTAACGGCTAAAAGTCTGGTTTTGAGGCACAGTGTAAGTACAGAACAAAATATTTGATATTTTAGACTCTTCCAGCCTCCAAGCATTTTCAGATTTTCCCCATGAAAGGTAAGTTAATCAATTCAAATTAAGCAACACATTTCTGTTACTCCCTTCAAAACATATGGCCACTAATATATTATTTTTGCAAGAACTGGTAAATAGACACTTTCCTGACTTTTCGTCAGTGTAAATTGGCATCTCTATAGCAAAACACAATAATTTTCTTACAAGTTAATCATAAAAAGTGAGAACAAAAAAGATAAGAAAAAAAAATCAGTACTCTACTAAAATAGTATAATAAAAAAACAGGAAACAAAATATAAAATTGTAGTGTTACTGGTTTTTCTAGAGAGATAAAAAATCTAGGGTTATTATCATAGACATTTCAAAACAAATGTCTTACCTCATATGCATAACCCAAGGAAGAAATCTGACTCCTTAAGTAGCCAAGTTTGTACACACCTACAAAGACCAAGCAGCGGCTGATTTCCAAAATTCCCGCTTTGGGCCTAGATATCGGAAAAAAATTAGATTAATGTCTAATCATTTCTTCTTTGTTAATTTCAGTGAAAAAGAGAATGAAGAAATAGTCTGTGATGCCCCGCACTTACATGAAGTCATCTTTCTTAAACTGATATTCAAGTTTTTATAGTATACATCTTATACGGACTTATAACATTGAAGTTACTGGGGGTGAGAATACACATACACACACACTATTTCTGTAAATTTTTACTAATTCACATTATTAACTCCCTAAGTCATACACATCTCTGGCATATTGACAGATTTTCACCTATCCTGAATTGAACTATTCAGTCCACACAAGTGAAAGTTATTCCTTTCTGAAAACATAATGAACAGCAGGTGCCAAGCAGGACTGGCATCTCAATCTCAAATGAAACTTGAACAGTCTCAGGACAGCCTGTAGGTCTCACTGGCCTGCCAGTGTCCCAAAATCAGAGATGTGGATCCAACAAGTGCAAGCATAAAGGGTGACATGAGTAGCCCGTCCTGTAACTTTTCTGCAAGAGACAATATAGATATCGCCACTAATTGCTATGGAATGCTCCTGGGTTTAGGTGCTGGCTATTCATGTGTTATTCTCTAGTCAACAGACAGAAATGTATGTGTCCAAGCATATCTGTATTTCTTTATCACTATCATTTCTGACACACCTGAGATTCCCATATAATGATAAATAAAGCATAATGAGAGAAGGAAAAAAGACCACATTTTTTATCTTGCCTGTTCTCCAGAAGTAGTCCGAAATTGGTCAGGGACAGAATGATAAAGCCAATTCTCAGAAGAATCGTTCCCTGTGATAACATCTGTTAAAAAGTAGACAACTCAGAGTAATTTTCTGAAGAGAAATGAGCTTTAACAGAACAGTAGCTTCAATTTCCTCACTCAGTGATGTTAGTGTCTGCTTTTAAAGTAATTTGTTACTTTAAATTTTACAAAAAAAATCTGCTCTGAATAGCACACTTATGTGGAATAAAACCTTTATAGTTGTTTCCTGAACATTTTATTTCCAAAATAGTATTATAGTCCCTTCTGCACTATGTGTTTTCCTGAAGTTACTTGATGATCTTACGCCTTTACCCAAGAGAGAACAAACTTATTTCTAGACAAAAATCCCAGCAGCGCTGTCCTTTTTCTTCATCTTATATTACCAGGTCTTTACAATTGTCGTCTATGAATCCAAATGGGTACCAAAACCAATACATTGGTGAGAATAAGAATACACATGACATGATAATGTAACCATATTTAAGAAAAAACAAAATTAATGTTGTCCTTTCATGACAACTCGACACTTGGTTCCCAATTCAGCAAAACTCTTCAACTCATAACATTAACTTCAATCAGACTTCAAACACTTTTAAACATTAACAAGTGTGTTAGTACGCGGATGAATAGAGCATGAAGATTTATGCCTCTAAAATTTACATCAAAATGATATAAACAAAACTCAGAAAAACAGAAATTATTTTCATTGTGAAGTTTGAATTTTTTCTTTTCTTTTATTAAATGTTTTTTTGTATTCTACACAACTGCCTTTGAAAATCAAATATTTAATCAGTTTTCTTCTTCCCTCCTTAACTTCCTTTCAAATATTAGTTTTGAAAAGCCTTTGTTTTTTCATTTAAAAAACAACAAAAACCCAAAACAAAAGTAGTGAATCTTGCTGAGTTATAGGAATCCTTTCTGGCTTCAATAGCAATAAGGTTTATGAACAACATCTTGCACTTCAAGATTGCAGGCATTGGAAAAATAAAAATCTATGAATGTCTGCCCTGATTTCAATAAATTCCACTTGGTGACATGCCCACCTTCCTTCAGTGGTGGCCCCTACCCCTCAAAGAGATCTGAGGTAAGTATCTGTGAGCGTGGGAGGCCACAGGAGGATATTCTCAAGTTTTACAGCTGTGTGAACTTACAGTGCCCATGTTTGCAAAACGCATCAAATCACACACTCAGGCTAGGTAGGCTTCTGTTGTTCTACTGAAGAATCACAAGCACCTACTTAGACATGCTTAACAAACAGTTACTGAACAAAGAAAAGTCAATCCCAGCAATGAGTGAGCTAAACAGCAGCCTCACCAGTTTACAAGCCAGAACACAATTCTCACAAATAACACCTGTCAAGCCACTCTCTTGCACAGATTTATACCAGGATAGATCCAACTCATTACTGCATTGCTACCTTTCTAATCTTTATGACAAACTTAAAAAACCTCAGACTGATGATTACCACCATCATCTACTTATATATACTTATCCTTGAGAAAGGATATTCTTTACACTTTTCTTACACTCTTACCCTGGGCATCTGCTATCAGCCACCACAGGAGACAGGATATTGGGCTAGATATTGAACTCTGGGGGGATTCTGTAGGAGTTACGTGCTGAGATTCTCACTTAAGTCAAGAAAGCAAAAAATGCTCTGATGGGCTTAAAATCCTTTATCAAGGTTTGTATCACTTGGGATACCTTTGCAAATTCCAGATACAAGTTTTAAAATTGAGGGCACTCTTTTTGAAAACTTCAGTTTCTAGAATCTGAAAATCCCACAGCTATCCTAAGTTTAAAAGACTTTCCATTGTTAACGTGAAGCAATTTATTTTGAAGTGACAAAATTTTTGGACAGAGCTTTCTTATAAAAACCAGGCACAGACTCTATTTTAGTTTAATAAAATGAGTAGTTCTTAAATGGCTCATCTAGTCACGGTAAGTTCAACTCCCACTTCAGCTTCCTGTAGAAATTGGGTCATACAAAAATTCAAGATGTGAGCAAAGAAAAACATGATTTGGCACAGGAATAAGGGAATTCACCCATAAATTTCTTAGAAATGCTTTGATATGTTTTTCAGTGATTGTTACTTGTCAAATAAAGGAGTTTGCCAGGGAAATAGGACTGGAATTCAAGACATTC